GTACAAGAAAAGAATGCTGTTTGTCTGTATTTTACGTAAAAACAAAAACAAATTATTTGCGACGCGTAACCAGTTGCGCACGCAGAGAGATAACAATTTTACTGTATCCTGTTGGCAAACTGGGCTTTGTAGCCGGCGGATTTTGCTATGTAAAATTCTGTCCCAAGCTGACTTGGACTTAATACGCGCCTGGGCCTATTAACCGTGGGCTTAATAACCGGCGACTACTATATCTTCCTCATTGAATTGGCATGAGTAGTCCTGATAAAAAACAGTAATCCTACCAGATTCACAGGAGCCATTCTGCCGTTCCCGACTTTGGCAATTTCACTTTTATCATCATGGTTTGGTTTAAAGTCGTGCGTCCTCATTATGCATTTTAGATCCAGGGCATACAGACGGAGTTTACGGCCAAGGTCTACGAAACGCACGCTGACATTGCTCTTGACGCTGGAGACTACGAGGAATTTCACCAGTGCCAAAGCCAGCTGCTGCGTTTGCATTCCGAAAATCTGGGTTTAGCACGCCGTCTCGAATTTTCTGCCTACCGCCTTTTATACTACATCTTCACTTTAGATTTATTAGGTTCGTCAAGTCTTCTCACCCTAAATTATTTAAAGATGCTTGGTGTCCTGCGTGCATCCTCGATTTTTATCTCGAGATTAAAGAAACTTCGAGATTCGTTAGCTCGTGTTTACTTCTGCCAAACATTCAGGTTTGGTATTTCCATTTTAGGCTTGTCCCTTCTTAGTGTAATTCATAGTCAAGGACCAAAATATGTGTTAGCAGTTTACTGCTAACTGCCAACTACACTACAATCGATTCATTTTGTCTTTGATAACGCCCATTTGGTAGTCGGTTCTGCCCCAACTGTGTGTTGTTGGCTTGCTCGGGCAATGTTCATGAATCTGCGACCGGATGCCGGTGTAATGTTTCCGGCAGAAAGGCATGTGCGAATTTTCTTAATGGTGTAGATAGACAGTTTTTGGCAATCTCCTATTATTTGGACTCTGCTATCCGCGATTAAGCTTGGTACCCGTCACTTTTTTGATATCACAGTTCTGCAATTTTTTGTTAACTTTTT